CCTCGAATGTCGCTCAGTCGTGTGGTCGTTACGACAGTCGGTTTACTTAACCTTTGTGGAGCCTAGAGTTTTTGTTAGAGCCGTTATTCTAATTATTCCAATTATATACCAATTATTCGATCATCATTATTTCGTTATTATCCACTCACGAATATTATCACACGATTATCAACAGATATTATTATCACTACTATTTAATATTCGAGTATATTATTACTTCATTATTCAGTTCTTATTTAATTTATTCGATTATTATTTAATTATTGCTATTACGTATAGGAAAGCAACTCGGGCGTGCTTATACGACAATTTCTTTACCTTGTCTTTAATCAGTTATTATCGCTGTTGCCCAATTATTGTTTTTATTGTTATTATCGATTATTCGATTATTGTTATTCCGTTATCATCTACTCGCGGATATTATCACACGATTATCGAACATATATTATTATCATTACTATTTAATATTCGAATATTATTACTTCCTTATTCAATTATTATTTAATTATTACTATTACACGTAGGAAAGCAACTCGGGTGCCGTTACGATTTCCTTACCTCGAAGAAGACGAGGTAAAGAAATTGTCGTAACGGCACGCCCGAGTTGTTTTCCTATGTGTAATAGCAATAATTAAATAATAACCGAATAAATTAAATAAGATCTGAATAACGAAGTAATATACTCAAATATTAAATGGTAGTGATAATAATGTCTGTTCGATAATCGTGTGATAATATTCGTGAGTGGATAATAACGAAATAATGATCGAATAATCGGTAATAACAATATCTGTATAACAACAAATCTGTATTCTAACAAAAATCTAGGCTCCACAAAGGTTAAGTAAACCGATCGTCGTAACAGCCGCTGGGGTCGTTGACTGAGAGACGTTTGGGAAGGGGGGAGGGCGTGGTCAGGCGCGCGTCACGCCATAACGCTATCAGCCGCCGAGGTAAGCACATCGCAGGAGCTGCGATGTTATTTTCTAAATTATTTCGCGATTTTTAATACCGCATTTTGACTTCGCCACAATTAAGGCGATAATTAACATGGACCGGATTTCGTTTTCTTCATAAGCGATTTGCGTCGCGCATGTATCAAAGCGATGCACTACACCTCGATTGGACCGTTGTTGAATTCGTCGCACATACTCGTTGTTTATCCGAAAGGCCGACATTTCCTCGAAGACGCAGTTTGCGATTTCATACGCAATTCGCAACTCGAAGTGTATCCTCCAAGAGAGACGGGATTTTTCGTGAAATCTCCGTTAGATTACCGCGGTTGGGAGTGAATTACAGGCGACGTGGGACGCGAGGACCGTTGCAGTGTCAGATGCAGCGACAGGTTGTTGGCTGGTAGACCCTGGACATCATGGGACGATGCGCAACGGTAAGCGCTCAATTTAGACGCTCATATCAAGCGACACGGTAGTGTCGCGAAGCCAAGTGCAAGTGTGAAGCATTGGCGGCCTACCGTGTATTATATCATTCATATAATTACGCGACGGCTTTAGTTGAATGTAGACTTTCGTTTCAGCTATAACGGTTGAATTGACGAAGTTCTGGAAGGACTTAGTCGATTCTTTGGGTTTACATTATATCATAAAACTGCTTTTATTTTTGCTCTATGTGCTCCAGAAGCTGAGCTATCTTAGCTCAAAGTTTGAAATTGTAAATTTACGCGTGAGAAACGTCTCCTCACCACAGAAATTCTCCATCACATATCTTCTCCGTTAGAGGGCGGGGTGGCGAGAGTGTTGCGATTACCGATTTACCGACTTGTAACTGTCATCGCGGCAGAGTCGAGTGACAGTTCGTGCGTACGAGAATGGGGTTATAACGAGGTTATATTTTTAATGTATATAATAGTTTTAAAAGTTGCGAAGTGTGTTCGTCGTGATAATTTTGAAGAAAAATTATAGAATTAACAAGGATATCAGATAAGTATCGGCGAATATATAAAAATAAAAATATATAACGGTGTAAAACTTGAATACCTTGTATCGTTTTTAGTTTTTATAGCTAAATTAAATAATAAGAAGATAAAAGAGGAAGGAAAAGGAGAAGAAAAGAAAGAGAGAAAGGAGAGAATATGCGAGGAGAAATGAAGAGGAAACAGAAAAGTGAAGATAAATGATAAGACGGTAAAAAATCACAAGAGAGCGAGATAGAAAGACAAGATGAATATATGAGTAAGAAAGTGAATAAATAAAAAGATAAATAATAAATCTATCCATTCCTATAGTATCCTTTTCTTTTATTTTCAGTACCCATACAGCACATAATATCATTTGTACATACTATTTTCACAGAAATCTGTGGTTCTGACTGACGTCAGAAAGGAGAAAACTTCAGAAACACTTAATGAATTTGTTGTGTTAATTGAAAAACT